AATGTTTTATATATATATATATATATATATATATATATATATAAAACATCAAATTTAATTGTCTCAGTTTAACACTTTAAAGTCTCCATGAAATGAAAAATGCAATCTATTTCCTAAATGTGTCTTATTGATCTTGACTTACTGATTGATCAATTTATCCATGCAAGTTTCACACTACATTTTTCGTACAAGTCATATGGACTAATTTTATGATACATTTACATCTAAAAGCTTCAGTATCAATTGATTGAAACTGAAAAGATCGACCAGTCTTTCTCTGTTTCATGAAAGAAAGAAATGCCTATCCCTTTAAATCCGCATTCCCTACCTGAAATTTGTCTCCCACTTCCCCTCTGAGCTCTGGGCCCATCAGCATTTTGCCAGTGGTTTTCTTCTTAGTGAAGGTCTTGTCTGTGTACTCCACGAAAGCCACTTTCTTATAAACACCACCCAAGCGCTGAGGACCTTTTCTGAACCACTCAGATCCTGCTGCTGACGACGATGAAGTCCTGAAGCATGAAAATCAACATTATTTTCAGTCGGTTTGACATCATTCATCTCAGGGCATACTCAAAGTCGTACCGATCGCCGCTTTGAGACGAATAGTCCCAGTCCATCTCCTCTGCAGCGATGTAATGAACCCACACTTTAGGTCTTCCCTTGGCACTCGATCGAAGCACTGATACAGGGCCTCCTTGCTTGAACACAATGGAGATCATGTTGTCTTCATCCTCCTCCTCCTCCTCATCATCACGTATGACGTTTCGTTTGTCTGGGATTGGGGCCACCACAGGTTCAGGACAGTTGTCAACAGTGAAGAATGCATTCATACCAGCTGGAGAAGAGAGTTAAATCGAACATCAGTGATTTACATTCTTATTCAATTGCATTTCTAAACCAAACATAACTTGTTACTTCTTGCAAACTTCATTTACTTCATTTAGACCATCAAAGTACAAAGCACATATTTCTCAGGTCATCTTGATCTAAATCTTTCCCCTTATTAAACAAACAACAACCTCTTGTTCAACAAATGCCCGTATGATTGCCAATCAAGCTGTGTCATTGCACATTTTGCTTCACTTTTACTTAAAATATCTGATTTAAAAAGATCTAGAACTTAACTAGTCACAAATATGATCACTTATCCAACTGAAAAGACATAATGCAGCTTTTTGTGCATTATCACCCCGATTACTGAACTTTTGAAGCCTCTTCCAGCAGAAAATTTGGTTTAAGAGTTTCATGTTGTACATCCTACACCGCTGTTAGGGTCAGTAAGATTTATTAATGTTGTTGAAAGAAGCCACTTATGCTCACCAAGGCTGCAATTATTTGATAAAAAATATTTTTAAAAAACTGTAATATTATGAAATAAATATGTCTTTGCAACTTTACAGATCTTCTTTACGCACCAAGAGCTTGTAACACTCCAAAGAGAAAGGAAAACTTGAAATCGCATCATATGACCCCTTTAAAATGACTGTTTTCTATTTAATATATTTTAAAATGTAATTTATCCTGTGATGCAAATCCTAATTTTCTGCATCATTACTCCAGTCTTCCAGAAATCATTCTAATATGCTGATTTGCTGCTCAAGAAACATTTCTTATTATTATCAATGTTAAAAACAGTTGAGCTGCTTCATATTTTTGTGAAAACTGTGATATATTGGTTTTCAGGATTCTTTGATGAAAAGAACCTTATTTATTTGAAATAGAAAGCTTTTTTAACATTATAAATATCTTATCTGCCACTTCTGATCAATTTGATGCATCCTTATTGATTAAAAGAATTAATTTCTTTCAGAAAACTTTACCTCAGCTGCAATGCCTTTATTTTATCTTACAAAGTAAGTACTGATGATAGCGTTATTATGACATTACAAATATGAAAATTTGTACATTGTATGAGTCTTACCCGTCTGATGAGAGTGGATCTCGCAAGAGATCAGAAACTTTCCGGTAGCAGATGGCTTCATGAGGGCTGTAGTGAAGGTCATGGGCGTCATCTCTACAGTTACCCGCTTATGGTTGAACACCTTTAATGTGTGTCCTTCAAACTGGATGCTGTGGATCTCTGGGGTCGAGCCAAGACCAATAAGATGCCAGGACACTACTGGACTCTTCTGGCACACAGTTAGACCTGATGAAACAGAAATTACAGAATATATTTGAGAATTACACCTGTAAAGAACATGTCCACCCCAATATCACAAATAAGAAATGAAGGGCCAGATTTACTATCAGCTTGCACCAGCGCAAACCCTCATTTGGCATTAAAAAACTACTGTCAGGGTTTACTAAAGACACGCAGTGGGAAATTAGCGGTGAAAAGGCATGGACACAGTTATTTTTGCGACTCACCTTATTGAATATGCATTTGTAGGAGTTTCCCTTTTGATCTATAAATTTTGGGGAGGAGAGTATTTAAATGAATCACGCAACGTGATTTACTAAGATTTGCGCTCGTCAGTTCACTGGTATTTGTGGCATTATTTAACGCCCCAAAAAAGCATGTCTTAAAGCAGGTGGTAATTTGCGCTGGTCATTATGGAAATTAGATGTTGCGTCTGTGTTCTTTAATGTGCGCATTGTCAGTAAATCACACGCAAAATTTTCCTCTCCCATCGGTGCTTTTACGGAATTGTGCTCTAACGCTAATTGCACTGTTTAGTAAATCTGGCCCTAAGAAATTAGAATGTACCAAAATGAAAAAAGAAGTGTCACTACTGGTCAAAAGTTTGTAATATTTAAGATTTTTTAGATGCTTTTGAAAATAGTCTCTTATGCCTTGCTGCATTATATACAGTAAAAAAAAAAGTAATATTGTGAGGTATTTTTACAATTTAAAAAACTTGTAATGTAAATAATATAATTAATTCCTGTGATGCGAAGCTGAATTTTCAGCATCATTACTCCAGTCTTCAGTGCAACATGATTATTTGCGTCAGTACGATTTAAAAAAATATTTTTATTCAGCAATGACACATTAAATAGATCAAAACGGACAGTAAAGACATTTATAATGTTACAAAAGATTTCAATTTCAAATAAATGCTGTCCTCTGTTTATCAAAGAATCCTGAAAAAAATGTATCTCAGTTTCCACAAAAATATTAGGCAGCACAACTGTTTTCAACATTGACAATAATCAGAAATGGGGTTTTTTTAGCAGCAAATCAGCATATTAGAATGATTTCTGAAGGATCATGTGACACTGAAGACTGGAGTAATGATGCTGAAAATTCAGCTTTGCATCAAAAGAATAAATTACATTTTAAAATATATTCAAGCAAAAGTAGTATTTTAAATTGGAATAATATTTCAGAATATTACTTTTTTTTTTTTTTACTATATATTTGATTAAATAAACAGAGCCTTGGTGAGCAAAAGAGACTTCTTTCAAAAACATTAAAACAAATTATAAACATTTGGTTGTGTATATTTATGTTTTGCATAAAGAAAATGAAACTTTTTTAGTACCTTTAATATACTTTTTGCATTAATATATGACATTATTTTCATTCAAATCAAACATAAATTCTACTCTAAAATGTATTATTACTTTAAAGTGAAAAATCTCATTCTTAACACTGTAATGATAACCATTTCTCAACAGCTGCTCAGGTGTGGTGAGGCTGATCGCACCTGGTAATGTTGAGTTGATGTATCCATTGATGGTGTGGTACTGGGTTGGACTTGATGTTTTCTTCAGTTTGTCTGCTCGGCCAACTTCCCGGTACCAACTTTTACTCTCATCGAAGACAGCAAGAAGCAAAATGAACTCTGGAACCTTCCGCTGTCTCTCCTCAGTTAGAGCCTCTGAGAGGTCAAATGTTAAAGGACATGTCAAATATACACCAGCATTCCAATTTCAGTACAAAATGTCAGTGAGATTTTACGTGATATATTTGACAAATCCCAACAGAGAAGCAACAGTCACACCTGTTTTACAGATCAAGAGAGTCCCGACGAGTCCGCTGTTGAAGTCTCGGACGATGTCCACCTGTGATGAGTAAATGTAGGTGAGGCAGTCTGGATCCGATGTGGTTGGCCCGGAGTTGGGTGAAATGTCCCACACGTACTTGTAGTAACCACCAGGAGGCACTGCATCATCCGCTCGCTCCTGAACAGAACTGGAGTCCTCGTACCCAGCGCCTGCCATTGAAAAGCAGAAGGATGTTGAGGTTTATCTTTACAAATTATGGGTTTTCAAACCCATCAGGATATTGCAATATATCTCACAATATTGCTTTCGTTTCGCTGGGTAAGCCCGAACTTACTATATGCTGGTCTATATGGGAAATCACATGTATTTTTTTATGCACTCTGGCATTTATCAGTATCTCCAGTGTTACAAAACACATTACAGAATTCCAAAACAAGTCTACAATGATGTTGCGAGTTCAGTCTAGGAACAATTTGTCTTATGCAGTAAAAGTTGGACGGTTTGGAATGAAATTATTTACATTCCAAAAGGGTTTTTTCCGCAGCAATGTGATAGAAAAACTATTTTTGTTCCCCAAAACGTTTCAATAAGCAATTCTTAAAAGAACCACTTTTAGAACATTTTAATAATCTAAAGAACCTTGTTACATTATAAAGAACCTTTTGTGCAATGGAAAGATTCCATGGATATTAAAGGTTCTTCATGGAACCATCAATGGCTTTCATCAATTTACCATCAATTTACCTTCCGATTGTTTCCAGTACTGAATGCCGATGGGAGAAATACTGAAAGATTGTGATGCAAAGTTTTTGAAGTGCACCACAACCCTGTCGTTCACCACTGTTCTGATAGTCGGGCCTTGAATACCTGAAACAGATCATTTAATATTCTATTTATTCAATTCTAAACTTCTTAATGTTTTTTTCCTAAGAAGCAGAGATTTCAACGCTTATACTGACCAGCCCATGGAAGTTTTGACTTTGGTGCTGTAAAAGTGGAATCGGTGTATTCTGTATATACAGCCTTGATGTATTTCTGGACACCAGATGCAAATTTCCTGTTAGGAATAATTATGCTGTTACTAGACATATTTGCAATACAGTGCAATGCAACATAATACAATGCAACTTTATTAATCCACTAGAGTTAGCAATTCATTGCTAAATATTGAAAGACATAGTTTACACAAATATGAAAAGAAAATGTATTCATCATCAGGCCATTCACAATATAGATGAGTTTGTTTCTTCATCAGAACAGATTTTGAGAAATGTAGCATTACATCACTTGCTCAGCAATGGATCCTCTGCAGTGAATGGGTGCCATCAGAATGATAGTCCAAACAGATGATAAAAACTCTCCAACACTTGTGGATTATTGTGATGTATTTATGGATTATTGTGACACTTTGCATTAATTTATACAATTTTGGAAGTGGTGATTTGAAGTTAAAAACATCTTGATGGAGTGGTGTGGATTATTGTGATGTTTTTATCATCTGTTTGGACTCTCATTCTGACGGCACCCATTCACTGCTGAGGATCCATTATTGTGGTAATGCAAAATTTCTCCAAATCTGATGAAGAAACAAACTCATCTACATCTTGAATAGCCTGAGGGTGAGTAAATGTTCAGCAAATTTTCCGTTTTGGGTGAACTATTCCTTTAATAATTATACCAGACAATGTATTTCAAAATTTCAGTACCAACTTATAACAGAACATTTTGTTTTATAAAGGATTATAATGGTTGCAAGAAATATGCATATTCAGCAAATGATCTGCTGCGGTTTCACACTAATGGGCGTGAGCTGTTATCACGCTCTGTTCTAAAAACACCAAATCAAAGCATGTTTGTTCTGACCACATATTCACTATTCATGGACTGAAAATCACTACAAGAACATATTATATATAAATAACAGGCAGGCTTCTTATCACTAAAAATAACAATCAAACTATGAATGACATTGACCGTATCTAAGTGCAAACTATGCTCACATTTGTTATGCTCTGTTTAACTATACAACTTGGAAGCATAATTGAAATTTGGACAGGCCTTAAAGCTTTTGCCTTTGAGGGTTGCTGGACTGAGTCCATGCCAACTAATGAAAAGATCAAACACTTTCTCAAAGCTGTTTCCTTTCTATAATTACTAACTGATGACATTCTGCTTGATGGTCAGATTCCAGTTTACTCTGATAAAACACTTACTGTTTGAACACAGTGGTGTTTTGAGAACACTGTAGCAAAATTTGTATAATAAAAGACATAAAAGGTGTATAATCTTTATGGGTAGCAATAATTAAAAAGCATGTTTTTATGTGTGCATAATAATAAATGTGCCCACCTTTGGTTTGCAGTAGGATCTGTTGTGTCTGTAAACACATATTCCCACTTAGTTTCCACTGCTGCAATGAAGAACTCCAAAGCCTTCGCCAGGACACAGGAAGACTTCAGACACACCGTGAGGGAGAGGAGGAACAGAACAACCTTCATCACTGGAGCACAAGTTAAACACGCTGACTGAATGAGATGCTGAGATGCTGTCAGGACATATTTAACTGCACAGGAAAAGTGTTTAGGGAGGAGCCAGAGAGAGGGCGAGACAGAGAGAGTGTTCATGATAATCATGAGTAATGATGAATGTTTGAGTCATAGAAAGAATGAAGTAAGAAAGAATGGATAAAAGGTGCACTCTTTTGCAAATTTCTACAGTTTTTTTTGTTCTATTTTCCTGAAAAGCAGATGTTTTGGGCAATAGTAATAGTGATGCTTGTCATAAGCAGTCTTAATCATTTACACGTAACGTTTAATTACATTAGCACTGGAAATAATGTACCATTTAAAGCAGAGGTTTTTCAGCTTTCCTTAACCAGAAACAAAGTGGGATAAATGGCAAAAAAAAAAAAAAAAAGTTTAAACTCACACTTACAAAACTATATGTAGTGTTTTATATCAATGATGTGCTCTTTTTGACCAAAACAACTCCAACAAAGACATAGACTTTGTTTTTTTGCTTTCCTGACCAGAAACAAAATAGAATAAATGGCAAAAAAGGAGTTTTACCTGGAACTCACACTTACAAAACTATATGCAATGTGTGTTTTTTTTGTTTTTTTATTATTAATGCTGTGTTCTTTTTAACTGAACTCCAAAAAGTGAGGTTTAACTACAAAACAAAAACAAAAAAACATTTAGGAATGATTACCTAAATGTAATAGTCCTATATTACTTTTTGGATGTTTTCTTTTATTATTTTAAATGGCTTAAATTTTGCCTTGAATCATGATTGCAATATAGGCTAGTCAATTTCTAAGTGAAGCTTTGTAGGAAAAAAAAAATCTGACCAATATATATATATACAGTATATATATATATATATATATATACAGTATAAAACAGTATATAGTATATATATATATATATATGCAAAGTACAAATATAGGCTATATTTTTGTGAATAGTAGTATAAAGTGATCGTTTGTAAGCAACTCAGTTAACTCCACTTTACGAAGGTAACTCAGGAAATAATTTTTTGACTTTACAACTCTTCACGAACGAACGTTAGGCCTACTGTTTGTCTATTTCTTAAAGAACTCCTGCGGCTTGTTTAGTTAATAAATGATTACTAATTACTTTGCACATATCCAAACAACACATTCTTGTTCATATTTTGTTCCTGTGCTATGTGGTTTCAGTCTATTATACGGCGATAAAAAGCATGACAGTATCGACAGCGCGGAGAGATATTGTTTATTTTCAGGTGAGGAGCGCGTCACTTAGTGATATTGCGGAGCGATATCATCATTAGAAAACAGCAGAAAGACACTAATATGTGTAGTCCCGGTTAGTTCTATAAGTCAGTCACGCGGTGACAAATTGCGCAGGACTGTTTGTCTATTTCTTAAAGAACTCCTGCGGCTTGTTTAGTTAATAAATGATTACTAATTACTTTGCACATATCCAAACAACACATTCTTGTTCATATTTTGTTCCTGTGCTATGTGGTTTCAGTCTATTATACGGCGATAAAAAGCATGACAGTATCGACAGCGCGGAGAGATATTGTTTATTTTCAGGTGAGGAGCGCGTCACTTAGTGATATTGCGGAGCGATATCATCATTAGAAAACAGCAGAAAGACACTAATATGTGTAGTCCCGGTTAGTTCTATAAGTCAGTCACGCGGTGACAAATTGCGCAGGAGAGTGGACTAAACACCACATTTGCTTTTACCAGTTTAATTTAATCTTTATAAGTCGTTATACATTTTAGGCTATAAAACACGTCGTGAGCCATAAAGAAAGACTGCATTTAAATTAGGATCTCGTCTAAAGCCAGGCATCCGCTTTCAGTTTTCTCTTGTGTAATTAGGAAACACGCTTTCAGTGTAAAGAACTCGTCCTAGTCTGCTAAAACAAGACTTGAACATCGTACAGCAGGCATAGTCTGTAAGGAATCGCATCATTATAAGGCAACGCCGCCACCTAGTGTAGATTACACGCACGCATACACACAGAAATACTACTTTAAATGATTCAATGCCAATGTATAAGTATACAGATATAACGGTAGCAAAGTGCTGTTTTTGTAGAATTAAACAGAGTTGCGTTCTTTTTTAGAATCGCCTTGAAGCCCCACCTGTTCAAGACGATCATATGGAGGTGCGAGTGGTTCAGGCTATGGACTGCTAATCCATTGTGCTCTGCACGCTTGGGTTCGAATCCATCCTCATCGGTTAGTGATTTTTCAGTCTTGAAAAACATGTAGCCATGACAGTCATTTGGAAAAATCTACTTCTGCATATTATGTCAAGACACCACAGGTGTCATAAAAATGTAAATAATATATCTCACCATATTGACCCCAGTTAATAATCAACAGTACACAGCTGACACAGAACAGCATACGCATACACACAGAAATACTACTTTAAATGATTCAATGCCAATGTATAAGTATACAGATATAACGGTAGCAAAGTGCTGTTTTTGTAGAATTAAACAGAGTTGCGTTCTTTTTTAGAATCGCCTTGAAGCCCCACCTGTTCAAGACGATCATATGGAGGTGCGAGTGGTTCAGGCTATGGACTGCTAATCCATTGTGCTCTGCACGCTTGGGTTCGAATCCATCCTCATCGGTTAGTGATTTTTCAGTCTTGAAAAACATGTAGCCATGACAGTCATTTGGAAAAATCTACTAATGCATATTATGTCAAGACACCACAGGTGTCATAAAAATGTAAATAATATATCTCACCATATTTACCCCAGTTAATAATCAACAGTACACAGCTGACACAGAACAGCATAAGCTGTTTACATCCAGCGGATATTCTCCAAAATGGCACCAGGGTAATGCGGAGGAGACGAATTGTTGAATAAAGACGTAATTTTTTTTCTTTTGTGAACAAAAAGTATTCTCGTAGCTTCGTATAATTGCGGATTAGCCACTGTTGTCACATGGATTATTTTACAGATCTCCTTACTACGTTTCTGGACTTGGGAACATTTCAGTTGCGTTGCTGTCTATGCAGGGTCAGACAGCTCTCAGATTCCATCAAAATATCTTAATTTGTGTTCCGAAGATGAACGAAGGTTTTACGAGTTTAGAACGGCACGAGGGTGAGTAATTAATGATAGAATTTTCATTTTTGGGTGAACTAACCCTTTAAGAAAACCTATCATATGACCAAAACGAAAATAAAAGAATATGATTTTTATTTCTTGGATCTCATTATTATTATTATTTTTTTAAAGGTTTTAAAAGAATACAAAAGGCATAAAATTCATCTTAATCACAGGAAATCCAGTTATCAAAAATAGAAAAACAAGACAACAACAACAACAACAACAACAAAAAAACAATACTAAATATTTCTCAAAATGTACCTCCCCAAAAAAATACAAAACATAAAAACACTGACTTACATACATATGAACAAACATGATCCATACAATAGGGACGGAGAATGCATTCAGGTTAAATAATTATTTCAGCTGAGATTGAGAACTGAAGTCTCGAGGGCCGTTACATCCATTATGTGCTGTTGAGTCCATGAGTTTCAACACTACTGAGCTGTTTCTCTTTTGAAGACTTCTTTTTCTGGACAATAAAAGAGCAGTACAAGTAATTTACTTGCAGAACAATTAATCAATCAGTTTTATTATCATAAAGGGTTTCTGCCGGTTTCATAAAGATAAAGACTTTTTAAGACCAAGTAAAGACCATTTAAGAAACACAATGAGCCATTTTAGCAACACTTCAACGTTTGAAAACACAACTTTAAACCCGATCTCCATTACTTTTTAAAGGAGAAAATTCTGCTTATTTTCAATTTCAATCATGCAATTCATTCACCAATTTTACCTTTTTGTGCACTACCACCTCCTCATCTGGAGCAGATACAGGAGGATCATCAGGGATTATCTCCTCTGTTTCTTCATCTCTCTCCTTCTTTTTCTTCTCTGTACATCATTTCAGTGTGAAAGGGAACACAAGCAAACAAAAACTGAATGAAGCAGTAAAATAAAGCCTCAAGCCAGGATATACATGTATTTAATTACTCACTCTTTTTCTTCTGACTTATTTCTACTGGAACGGATGCCTCTTCTTCTTCTTCTTCTGCTGGTGGTTGAAGAGCATCTGCATTTTCACTCTCCTTGCTTTTCTTCTTCTCTTTGTGTTTCTTGGCCTTCTTGGGCTCAGGTGTGGCCTCCTCCGGTGCTGGGACATCACAAGCTTCTTCCCTTTTGTGTTTTCTTTTTTTGGAAGGAGTTTTTAGATCGTGACTACAGGTTTCCTCATTTCCCAAACCATCACCATCTACAGTCTTTGCTTGAGATTTACTACTTTTTAAGGGTGTTTCTGAAGGAACGTCATTCTGGATCTCCACAACATCAGCAGCCTTGCTTTTTCTTTTTGTCGAAAAGCTGTTTGTAGAGTCAGACTGTGGGAGATCAGCATCCGATGCGGCTGTTTTGACCTTCTTACTGGTTGTTTCCTCCTCGTCAGATTCTTCAGTGCTTTTAACTTTCTTGGCTTTAGCTTTTTTTGATGGCGTTTCAGGCTCAACTGTTTCTAAATGGCTTTTACTGGCCTTAAGTTTGGCTTTTTTAGATGAAGAGTCAGGTTTAACGGATTCTAGAGAGACATCAGCTTTCTCAGGTGTCGTTTCTTGTCCATTCTCAGAAGGACCTTCTGTTTTCTTAGCTTTAACCTTCTTTGAAGGCGTCTCATCAGGAACAGGCTCTACGACACTTTTAGGCTTCTTGTTTTTCACTTTTTTTGATGGCGTCTCTGATTGGTCAGAGGTAGCGTCCATCCTAGCGTTCTTAACAGCTTTCTTAACCTCTTTAATATTTAAGGGACTATTGTCAGTTTCAACATTACTGGCTTCAGATTGGCTTTTCTTTTTTTTAGCCTTTTTAGATGGAGTTTCAGTGCTGCTGGTTTCTGAGGCACCATTATCTTTCCAAACATTGGTCTCAACTTGCTCTGAAAAACTATTTTCTTTTTTAAAGT